AAAAAAAAAAAAAAAAAAAAAGAAAAGAAATCGCATATGAGAAGGCAGATGCAGGCAAATCTCTGTGAGTTTGAGGCCAGCCTGGTCTACAGAGCGAGTTCCAGGTCAGGCTCCAAAGATAAAAAAAACAAAAATAAAAAAACAGAACTCAAACATTCCTGCAAGAATTCAGGAATGTAGGGTTGGAGAGATGTCTCAGTGGTTAAGAGCACTGATGCTCTTCTAAAAGATCCAGGTTCAATTCCCAGCACCCACATGGCAGCCCACAACTGTCTGTAACTCTGGTTCCAGGGGACCTGACATCCATACATGCAGGCAAAACACCAATGCACATAAAATAAAAATAAATATAAATTAAAAAATTCAGGATTGTGATTTATATTCTAAAAGGATTAGTTCCTACAATGTAAACTATCTGATATTTGTTTTTCTTGTTAATATACCCCTCTAGCATGGCATCTTGAAGTAATCCTAGTCAAAAGACCCATGGCCTATCTCAAAGCATTCTAGAGCTCTGAACAGTAATTGCTGTCTAAATACATGTTGAGCACATGGCAGAGCCAACCTGGCCTTAGTTCTCTCTCCAGAAGGAAATTATTCTTCAGCAGTCACTGGGAAATTTTCTATTAATTACAGGAAATCATAAGAGTCCAGGTGTTAGAAATACATGGCAAGGCTAGCAACCTGGGCTACATGAAGACACCCTCTTTGATTTACAACTGTAGTTTTCATTTTGAAAAGTGTTAGGGCAATAGTGGCACACACCTTTAATCCCAGCACTCGGGAAGCAGAGACAGGTGGATCTCTGTGAGTTCGAGGCCAGGCTGGTCTGCAGAGTGAGTTCCAGGACAGCCAGGGCTACATAAAGAAACCCTGTCTCAAAAAAGAAAAAAAGAAAAGAAATGTATGACAAAGCAGTGAAGAGAACTGCAGCCCCCACATTCCACATTGTCAATGAATTTTGGTTATATTTTCAAGTAGCTAAATGTGTTAAGTTAGAGTTCTGGCGTTGTGGCCTTATCAGTAAATCCCAGCATTTGGGAGGTGGAGGAGGCAGGAGCATCAGGAATTCAAGGTCACCCTTAGCTACACAGTGAGTTGAGACAAGCCTGGGCCACATGAGACCTTGTCTCAAAATTAAAACCCAAGTTTTCCGTTCACTCACATTAGTATATTCTCTCAACATCTGTCTGCTGGTGTTATCCTCGTTCTGTATGTGAGTAAACTAGGGTTCAGAGAGGGGAGCGGACTTGGCAGATGTCAGAGTTCCCTGTTAGGTCTGGAGCTTGTGTCTGAAGTCAAGTTAGTCTGCCCTCTCCACATAAGTGCAGTAAGTAGACCTGCTGTTTCTAGTCTGTTTTGAGTTCTGATTGTAGTGAGCTTGAGTGTGGTACTCTGATCACACATGGGCACAGGCAAGTTACCTTTGTTTTAGGAAAGACACGGAGCACTTACAGCTAGGACATAGATCAGAGATTATGCAGATGAAGTTGCCAGCAGAAGGTAGTTCATTTATAGATAGAAATAATCATGGCCTTTACAGAGGATCAGCTCTGGGCCTTCATAGATACCCGACCACAATCCCTATAGAAAGCTTATGATTTCTCTGTTACAGAGAGAAGACACCCAAAGTATTAATAACTTTCCCCAAGATCAAACAGTCTCAGTGAACTTTTTATTCCCCACCCTTCACAATAGGACCTAGTTGTCGTGTTTGATCTCTCTGCTCAGCCTGTAAGCTCCCCAAGACCCAGGGCCTGTGGTCTGGAACATGCTGTCACCACAAACAGCAGTCATGGAAATGAACTTCTTTAAACACCACAGCTTGAACCAGCCTGAAGCCTGCACAGGAGCATGCACATAAAGTCAACTCAGGAGGCTGGAGCAGAATTCAGGGTGGGCCTGGCTTACATAATGAGTTCCAGGCCACTCCTCCCCATCAGAAGTCACCACTAACGACTGCTGTAACAAACTCCACTAGTCCTTTAAGGGCTGAACAAGGAATTGGAGTAATCGAACAGTACGCTGGGTTCCAGGCCGCTCTGACTTGTTTGGAGTGGCCGCTGCTGCCCGGAGGACTGCAGAAGCGCAGAGCGGTTGGCCTGCGCGCTTCCGGGGCCTGGGGAAGGGGGCGGGCTCTTAAGCCCCGCCCTGTGGGTGGAGCCACGATCTGGACGAGCAAGGGCTGCGACAGGTAATTTGGTGCTGGTCTGGAGGTCTCTGGCGGGGCCGTCTGCGGGATCCCGGCACTCTCGGAAGTGTGCCTGAGCTGGGTGGAAGGGACGGTGTCCCTGGTCTCCGGCCGGCCACATTAGCGGAAAGCAGGCAGCCATTTCTCTCTGACCCTGACTTCTTTCACGAGGAGATGTGGCCGGGAGAGGGGATGTGAAGGAGGTAGCTAGGAGAGTTCCCTCCTATGCGAAGCCGGCCCCTGGAGCTCGGACCCTGTGGTCTGCAGCCTAGGCCGCAGGTGGACCGGTGCATCTCTCCTTTAGTTCCATTTCTTCCTTCATTTATCCCTATTTCTTCTCTCTGCGGGCCCGTGGGTAAGTTATCAGAATGAATCTGAAGGACGGACATGCTAAGATTTTAGAATTTAGTCTAGATACTTTTCTGTTACTATTATTTTGAGACAAGAGCCTCACTATGTAGCCCAGGCTGGCCTCTATCTATCAGTCTACTGCTTCAAGCCTCCCAAGTGCCTGGTAGTGCACTACTGTGCCAGGCTGACTACAGACTTTTAAATAGGTAATTATATTCAAGGGTCTGAGGGTTTAGTTCAGTTAGCAGAGTGCCCGCCTAGTGAGAACGCAGACCTGGGTTCTATCCCCCAGTGCGGGATAAAACCAGGCATGGTGGGATTTGCTTGTAATCATACCTTTTGGGAAGTGGAGGCAGGAGGATCAGAAGTTCAAGGTCACTCTTGGCTACATAATGGCTACATAATGAGTCAAGGCTAGCCTATGCCACATGAGACCTTGTCTCTAAATAAGTAAATAAGTTTGAAAAAAAAAGTTAATTACATTTAGAATGATTCCTGTAAAAATGATGGCTAAATAGACATGGTCATAAAGGAAACCCAAGCCCAAGCCCCTCTAATTAAGCCTCCCTGCCAAGTGTGTGTGTATTGCTAATAAAAGGGAAAGTTTCTTTAATGAACCTTTGAGATGGACTTTATTCTCTCTCTCTCTCTCTCTCTCTCTCTCTCTCTCTCTCTCTCTCTCTCTCTCTCTCTCTCTCTCCTCTCTAGACAAGGTTTCTCTGTGTAGCCCTGGCTGTCTTAGAACTCACTCTGTAGACCAAGCTAGCCTCAAACTTACAGAGATCCACCTGCCTCTGCCTCCCAGGTGCTGGGATTAAAGGCATGCGCCACCACTGCTCAGCTTTTTAAATTTGTTTGGGGGGTCTTTATTTTTTATTTATTTCTTTTTCTGGAAATTGAACCCAGGGTCTTGTCCATGCTAACCAGGCACTCGACTACAGAGCCACACCAGCTCCTTGAGACCAGCTGTAACTACTGACTAGAAGTGTGCAAGTTCATAAGAAGGGAAGATAGGGGAGGCAGTAATTACCACAAAACACGTGTTGATTTTACTAACTCCCCAGTGGGTGAGGGGATTTAATACAGGTTATGAAAGGACTTGCTCTGTTAGGGGAACAACTGGAAGCCCAATATTGCAGGTGGGGTCCATAAAAAAGATACAGGTCACTCCACATAGCGGGGCCACATAGTGAGACCCTGTCTCAAAACAACAAAATACGGATCAGAAAGCTTGGTCTTCTATTTCATGCTGAGACCAAGATTTATCTCAGAATTCAGTATTACTCAGCTACTTAGATTGTTCTATCATATGTGTGTGGGGGGGGTTGTTTTGTTTGTTTGTTTGTTTGTTTTTGAGATAGAGTTTCTGTGTTGCCCTGGCTGTCCTGGAACTCACTCTTTAGACAAGGCTGGCATTGAACTCACAGAGATCTACCTACCTCTCCCTCACCAGTGCTGTGTACCACTATGCCTGGCTCTTAAAAAAAATATTTTTAATACAATTTTTAAGTTAGTCTGCCAAATAATGTGTTTCAGGGGGCTGGAGAGATGGCTAAGTGGTTAAGAGGGCCCAAGTTCAATTCCCAGCACCCACATGGCAGCTCAAAACTGTCCATAACTCCTGTTCTAGGGGATCCAACACCCTCATACAGACATACATGCAGGTAAAAACACCAATGTACATAAAATAAAAATAAATAATTTTTAGAAAACACTATGTTTCATTATGGCATTTTCATATGTATGTGTCCTACATTGTTCTGATTTGTATACCCTGCCTTATTGCCCTCCCCATGCCTGTTTTACCTTTAATAAAGACCCCTGACATCTGATATGTGCCCCTCCCTCATGAGACTCAGAGACAGATGGGAAATGTTAGCTGAAAAACTTGAGTAGTTGTGTCAAGGCTGGGGGTGTGGCTCAAGTTAGACACCTAGCATGCATGAGGCCCTGGATCTGAACCTGTCACTGGGGGGACAGGGAGAAGAGGAAAAGGCTGGCTGGATCTAGTGGCTGCAGTTCAAGTACTGAAGAGACTCGGACAGGACTGTCCAGAGCTGGAAGTCAGCCTAGACTACCGAAGCTCTTGCTTCAAAACAAAAAGGATTCACCCCTAAGTGTGGTGCTCTTGATTCACGTTTGCCAGAAGGCAGAAGGTTCACACTCAAAGGTTTGGTGGGGTTTGTGGTTGTTCCTTCCCAGTTTGGGGGTCCAACCTGGAGCCTTGCTCATGCTGGGCAAGTGCTCTACCACTGAGCCCCTCCACAATCTAATAACGGTTTGTGAGGGGCCCGCCGGATTTGTTGTGTTGTAGGAAGACGCCTGAACACTGCCTTCCTCTCTTCTGCATAGGGCGTCATGAAGCAGCTGCCAGTCTTGGAGCCTGGAGACAAGCCCAGGAAAGCTACATGGTCTGTAAGGAAGGATTCAGACACGCACAAGAGCTTGAGTTTTTGTTTCGTAGACATGTAGTTTACTAATACATTTGAGCATCTCCAAGAAGGGGTAGCAATGAAACTGGTAATTAGACTCAAAGAGTCTGAGAAGGTCTTCAGAGGAAAGATAGGTGGGCAGTAATTATCACAGAGCAGCTGTTCATTTTATTAAACTCTGTTTACCAGAGGAATGAAACACTGGCCATCTGGCATCCTCGGACCCTTTTCTTAGGTCCTCCCCTGAGCTGTGGCTCATTCTTAAGGTTTCAGGGAGTTGAGTTTGGATTGTACTGGCTTCAGTGTCCCTTGGCTGCTTGTTAAACCCTTCATTCAGCAGCTCACACTGGCTAACATCGGTGGCTGCTCCCCAGGCTCCAGAAGTCCACAGGCAGATAGTCCCTCTGTAGTGAAGTCAGAGACAGCAGGTGGTGGAGTCTGGCCCACACTGAGGGGCTCACAGAGTTTGCAGAGAGGTGCAGTGTCCCCACAGGACTCAAGTGTGCTTCCGTGCCTGCTCCCATGGCCTGTCTTGCCGCAGAGCCATCACCCATGTGCTGGAGGTGTGTTCTAGGGTAAAGCCGTCTAGAGAACTGGGAATGCAGCTCTTTTGGAGAGCTCTGCCTCACATGTATAGCACCCCAGTTAGATCCTCAGCACTGAACAAGACAAAGCGGGCACCTTAACGAGGTCCTGTGTAATCAGTCTGTTTCTGCCTGTCTGTTCAGTTTCAACTACCTTCACATACTCTTGCTGTTTTCTTTGCTGTTGAGACAGACCCATGTAGCCCAGGCTGGCGCCTAGCTTTCAGCAATCTCCTTTCTCAGCCTCCCAAGTGCAGGCATTACAGGCATAGCCACCAAGATTGACCTTGTTTTTTTTTTCAAAACAGGCCATCTAGTACTCAGGTACCAGACGGCCACTTGGAGTTCAGTGCTAGCCTGGGCAATGGAGTAAAATGCTGTCTAGGAAAAAAAAAAAAAGACAAAAAGAACTTTTATATTAAAACTATTCTTTGGCTGTGAAAGCACTGAAAAAGATATTCCTGAAGCTTTTAAGTGGTCCTTTCACCCACTGGTCCATGAGGGCTGTGAGGGCCGGGAACGCTCTGTCTCACTTGGCATCTTTCTAGATGTTTATCCTTTTTTGGTTTTTGGTTTTTTGATACAGAATTTCTCTGTGTAGCTTTGTCTGTCCTGCAACTTGCACTGTAGACCAGGCTGGCCGAAAACTCACAGAGATCCTCCTGCCTCTGCCTCCTGAGTGCTAGGATCAAAGACGTGTGCCACTACCACCCAGCTTTTATTCTTGAATATAGTGCTCATATGCTTAACTGTTTTACACCTCTGTTCCTCAACTATTAAAGTCAACCTACAGTAATAGTACTGATGGCTAGTGAGATCCACAAAGGAAATGAAGCCAAGGTTGTTGCTTTGTGAGCAGCATGCATGGGACATTGTTAGCCATCCTTCAGGAGATGGGATACACAAATCTGAATGTCAGAACAGATCTGAGCAAGGAGGAAAGATCCAGAAATCACTGATAGTGACAGAGATGGGTGTCCATAGAAACCACCAGGACAGATGAAGTGAACCAGAAAAGCAAGCACAGACGGAGGGAAAGGATACTAGGAGAGTGAGAATTCCGAGGGGCTGGTGGGAAAGGGATCAGAGAGAAGAGGAAACAGCTGCCGGAAGGTGAGCGCATAGCCAGAGGAAGAGGTGTGGAGAAGCCAGGTTCTGGAAAAGGTACAGGAAAGTGGGAGGAGTCAGGAGTGCCACCATCAGAGAGCTCAAATAAGACAGGACCCGGGAATTGCCAGGAGCTGCTCTTACTCACTGAGTGCCCTGGCACAGGCCTGTAACCCCGCATTTGGGAGGTGGGGTCAGGAGCATCAGGAACTTAAGGTCATCCTGGGCTATCTGGAGTCCTAGATTGCCTGAGACCCTGTCTCAAACTAAATTTTGTTTTAAATATTTATTTACTTATTATGTATACAGTGTTCTGTCTGCGTGTATCCCTGCCTGCCAAAAGAGAGCACCAGATCTCATTGTAGATGGTTGTGAGCCACCATGTGGTTGCTGGGAATTGAACCCAGGTCCTCTGGAAGAGTACCCAGTGCTCTTAACCTCTGAGCCATCTCCACCCCCTTGGTTGGTTTATTTCCAACTTGGAAGCTTGAGTTGCATTTTTTTCTGTTCAAAATCAAAATAAATGTATCGGGGAATGCCTGATCCTCTGTTTCAGCTTTGAATCCTAGGTTTAGCTTCCATTTGTTTGAGGTTTCCAAGCCTGGAAAGGCTCTTAATGGATTTCATATAATCCTTATGGGGCTTAATCCATGAGTTCTGGAGAATTTTCTCCACAGGGAGACACTGGCTGTTCGCCAGGGCCTTGGCATCATAGTTGCCCCTATGAATATGATATGAATATGATATGATATGAATATAATGTGATATGAATATGATAATGCCCTGGCATTGTTTACTGACTCACTCCCTGCGACCTTGCAAGCTGTTTGAGTCTTCACAACTCCCTTTGAAGGTAAAAACTGCCACAATCCTGTCTACCACAGAGCTCCATGGGAGTCAAAAGTCCAGGCAAAATTGAAAAGTCAGAGACCGAGCAAAGGGAAGGTCCTGGGCAAAGGGAAGGTCCTGGGCAAAGGGAAGGGACTGGGCAAAGGGAAGGGACTGTAGCTGGTCAGGATGTGATGCTTCGCTGAATCCAGTGTGGAGCAGTGGGACAGCTCAGCAGGGGAGCCACTTGGCCAGCGAGCCTGATGACTTGGGTTCCATCTCAGGAACCCACATCAAAGTAGAAGGAGACACCAGCTCTGTAGAGTTTTCATGTGCCCTCAACACCTGCACTGTGGCACTTAGACACCATGCACATGCTCGTGTACAATAGCAGCAATAAAATGTAAAGCATCAGTATGTGTACCAGACCTTTCTGGTGACCATTTTGTGAGGAATGGAAGACTATCTTCACACAGGCCTCCTGAATCTATCTTCCCTTTGGCAGGTACACTTTGACTCGCCCTGGAGACAAACCCTGCCCTCGAGTTGGCCACAGCTGCTCATATTTGCCCCCAGTTGGTGATGACAAGAGAGGGAAGGTCTTCATTGTAGGGGGAGCAAATCCGAACCAGAGCTTCTCAGATGTGCACACTATGGATCTGGGTAAGATCAATGCTGCAGAGCACTCAAAAATACTCTGCTGGGTGTGGTGGTACACATCTTCAAAACCAGACTAGGAAGGCAGAGGTAAGACAACCCCCAGGAGTTCAAAGCCAGCTTTGCCTATATAGAAGTGCCAGGCCAGGAAAACATAGACCCTGTCTCAAAATAGTAATAATAATTGTAATAATAATAATAATAATAATAATAATAATAATACCAACTCGGGGTTGAGGATTTAGCTCAGTGGTAGAGCGCTTGCCTAGTAAGCGTAAGGCCCTGGGTTCAGTCCTCAGCTCTGAAAAAAAAATAATAATAATACCAACTCACACCAGACACAGGGTTTTCCTCTTAAAGAGAGGAATGTCTTTTCTGGCTCCCAAGGTCTCTGCTGACTCTAGCACATGCCCACCTGTTCAGTGCATCCTTGTTGGGAAGAGTCTGTAGCGAGCCCCAGCAATCTAGAAATTGGATATTTATTAACTGTCTTAGGAGGCATCAGTGACTCCCATGTCTCCTCCCTGTCTCCTGTCAACATTCTGATTAATCATCAGGCCCTGACTTTGTCTCCTGCCCGGTTTGTCCCTTTCCATAGTTCGCACCACTAGCTTCCAGCTAGGCTTGGGGTCATTTTCACACCAGCCTCCTGGCTTCCATGTTGGATCACTCTGCAGTGCATACTCCATACCTACCCAGAAAGTGTTACTCTTTGGTTTGGGGGAGTGTTACTTTGTTTTAATGTAGTCTCGTGTGGCTCAGGCTGGACTTGAAATCCCTGTGGATGTGGAACTAGCTGAGGAAGACCTTGAATTCCTGATTCTCCTGCCTTCATCTCTCAAGTGACTATCACAAATCTGTGCTGCTCCACCTGGCCTATGTAAGCTGACGACCAAACTCTGGTTTTCATGTGTGCTCTCCCATCTCCCCCTTCACAGATCTTAGCACATGTGATTACTTCGTGTACTTCCCACAGGAGTTTAAGGTTCTCAGAAACAGAGAGTGAGCCTTTTTTTTTTTTTTTTTAAGATTTATTTATTTATTATGCATACAGTGTTCTGTTTGCATGTATCCCTGCAGGCCAGAAGAGGGGAGCCTTTTTAACTCATAATTGTATCCCCAGAAACTGCTAGAGCATGTAGCCAGAGCAAGCACTTTGTAATTTGATGAATGAATGAATGAATGAATGAATGAATGAATGAATGAAGCTGTGAACAAATTATTACTATGTGCTATACTGCTATACAAAAGGCAGAAGTTGAAAATTAGTGAACCACATCTATGTTTGGCTATGGCCATATAGCATTTCTGTTATAATACACACACACACACACACACACACACACACACACACACACACACATACACACACACATATATATATATGTGGGGTTTTTTTTTTGTTTTTTTTAAGACAGGTCTTCTCTGTATATCCCTGACTGTCCTAGAACTCACTCTGTAGAACAGACTGGCCTTCAACTCACAGAGGTCCACCTGCCTCTGTCTCCCAAGTGCTAGGATTAAAGGCATGAGCCACCACTGCCTAGCTATATATTAGTTTTTTTCAGACAGAGTTTCTCTATGTAGCCTTGGCTATCCTGGATATGTAGACCATGTTGTTTTTGAACTGACAGAGATGTACCTGCCTCTGTCTCCCAAGTGTTAGGAGCTGGGATTAAAGCTGTGTGCTATCACACCCAGTCCAAATATTAGTATTTTATTACATTTATTATTTTGTACATGTGCATAGCACACATAGAGATTAGAGGACAACTTTGTAAAATTTTAAAGATTTGTTGTATTATAATTATTTAATTAGTTTTTTAAGACAGGGTTTTTTTGTATAGCCTTGACTTTGTAGACCAGGCTGGCCTTGAACTCAGAGATCTACCTGCCTCTAGAGGGCTGGGATTAAAGGCACCACCACCACCCAGCTGTTTTATTTATTTTTTTAAACAGAGATGATTGGCTTAAGGGATTATTTTAAGAAAAATATTTTATGTGTATTAGTGTTTTACCTGCATGTATGTATGTACACTACAGAAAGAGTTGGAGCCACTGGAACTGGAGTTACAGAGAGTTGTGAGCTACCGCGGTGCTAGGAGCTGAGCCTGGGCATCTGGAGTCACCACTCTCAACTGCTAAGCCATTAATCAGCCCACTATCCTACTGGTTTCAATATGCATGTGTGTGGAGGGGTCTGGTGTGGTATATGCATGTGAGTGCCAATGCCCATGGAGGCCACAAACATTGGATCCCTAGAGCTGGATTACATGGAGGCTGGGAGTTGAGCTTGGGTCGTCTGCAAGATTAGCACGTGCCCTTAACAACTGAGCCTTTTCTCCAGCCCCAACTATGTCAATTTAGCATGCACACTTGATCGGTGAATGAGTCAAGATTGAAATAACAGAAATGAGGCTGTGAGCTGGCTTAGTGAGTCAAGGTACCTGCTGCCCAGCCTCCTCTGAGTTTGATCCCTGAAGCACACTTGGTAGAAGGAAGAAATTGAACTTTCCAAAGTTGTTCCCTGACCTCCATGCAGGTGCTGTGGCACAAATGTGTATATACATACACATAAGAAACAGACTAGAAAATTCTAAATTGCCGTGGTTGGGCCTCTGATAATAATTTTAGGAGGTCTGGCATCTTGCCTCCTGCGTGGCTACGTGGCAACAGTTATTTAGAGCTGGAGTGTCACCTAGTGACAGGGTTTCCACCCACAGAGTTACCACGGTCTCTGTTTATACTATCCAGGCAATTGAATCTCTGCTCCCAGCACTAGGCCAAGATACCTTAAGTCCCTTTCAGCACTCAAGAAGCTTACCTTTTAGCTCAGTTATATTGTGACTGTCTGTCTGTCTGTCTGTCTGTCTGTCTGTCTGTGACAGCATCTTCCTATGCCTAGATTCTCTGCGTAGCCCAGACTACAACCCACAACCTTTCTGCCTCTACTTTCCAAGTACTGGGGTCCTGGACCACCATACCAGCTTCAATTACATCTTTATTACAAGTTATCAGTACCATGGTGACCTCAGCAAAGCCATTTGGACCATAGTATCCTATTACATAGAGATTACTAACCGGCTTCATTTGCAGTTGTGATTACCTAACAGCAGCATGATACTTGTAAGGTCCTAGATTAGTGATTTGCTAACTAAAAGAATTAGTTGGTTTAGGCATCATTTCTCTGTTTGCCCAGAGATCACTTAGTCACTTAAAATGGTGGTGGGGGAGATTGAGATGTATATAGATATCAGGGGTGTTTTTCAGGGTCTAAGGACAGAAAATAGCAGCCCAGGCTGCTGAGAGAATGGAAACTGGATCCAAGCGGCCCATGGAGTCCAGCAGCTGCCTCTAGTCCCGTTAGTTATGACTAGCAAGTTAGTGCTGTCCATATGTCACCTGGACTCTGGGAGGAAGAATGGAGACAGTTGGACAGTTTCCGTGAAAGAAGCTTCATGGGTCAGGCAGACAGCCTGCAAGTGTGTGCTAGAGAACAACATTTCGGTATTTCGGTTTGAACATGCTCCCTTTAAGGACTGACGGTTGGTGTTTATGATTTCCCTTCCCGCGTTTGTCAGCCAGAATTACCAGCTGACGTCCCGTCTAAGGACTGGGCAAATGTTTCCTAGGAACACAGCGGTGGGCCGCGGCCACCAGGGAAGGCCTCTTGCCTCGGTATGAGCATGCCAGCTTCACCCCCTCCTGCACACCTCACTGCATCTGGGTGTTCGGGGGTGCGGACCAGTCAGGAAACCGGAATTGTCTGCAAGTCTTGAATCCTGGTGAGTAGACATACACATATGGATGCAGTTATGTTACAGTATATTTGAATTGCCCTAATTAACCTATTTTACCTTGCTGACCTCATAGAAATAGGAATTTTTAGATTTTTTTCTTTTTACATTTTTAAATTTGTGTGTGTGTGTGTGTGTGTGTATGTGCGTGCGCGCGCACACACACGCGCGAGCATGAGAGAGACCATACACATTCAGTAGTATTCATGTGGAAGCCAGTTGCCTCCTTTCACCATGTGGGTCCCAGGGATCAAATGCACCTCTGTTAGTTGCTGTATTGATCCAGACAGAATTTGAAAAGTGGAAATCAGTTCTAGAAGTCCACCTTTAAAAAGACGGCAGTGTAGCTGCTGGGTGGTAGTAGCACACGCCTTTAATCCCAGCACTCGGGAGGCAGAGCCAGGCAGATCTCTGTGAGTTCAAGGCCAGCCTGGGCTACAGAGTGAGATCCAGGAAAGGTGCAAAGCTACACAGAGAAACCCTGTCTGGGGAAAAAAAAAGAAAGAAAAAGATGGCAGTGTGTATGTGTGTGCTCTACAGCCCAGGGCTCCTGCCTCAGATTCCCAAGTGCTGAGTTCACAAGTGCTGGGACCCTTTCTTTTAGACTCTGGGTAATGGCATTTATTTAAAAACAAAACAAAAAACCCACAGTGGTACACGCCTATAATCCCAGCATTCTGAAGGCAGAAGCAGGCAGATCTCTATGAGTTTGAGGCCAGCCAGGGGTATGTAGTAAAACATTGTCATGAGACAAAAAACAAAAACAAACAGTGAAACTCTGGGAAGCTCCTATCAGAGAAATTGATTTGATTTAATTTTTTTGTGGAACATTACTTTACACTGTGTGAATAGATGTTACTGTGATTGGTTTAATAAAGAAGCTGACTGGCCAATAGCTGGACAGGATAAGGTTAGTGGGTAGAGCCAGACTAAGAGAAGAAGAAGGAGGAGGCTGAGGAGTCACCAGCCAGACTCAGAAGAAGCGACATGAAAAGTACATAGATGAGGTAAATGAGCCTCGGGGCAGCACGTAGATGAATAGAAATGGGTTAAGTTACAAGAGCTTGTTAAAGATAAGTCTAAGCTATTGACCAAGCATTTATAACTAATAAGAAGTCTCTGTGTGGCTATTTGGGAATTGACTGTCAGGACAGGAAAGTCTGCCTACATATTTTATTTATTTTGGTTGTTTGTTTTTGCTGATTGTCTTGCTAGAGAGTCTAGGCTCTCGGTCTTCCTGCCTCATCCTCCCGAATGCTGCAGTTACAAGCGTGAGCCACTGTACCCAGGACTTATTTCTGTCATTCAAGCCCTGCCCGAGATCTGCAGCTCTAGAGAGGGTTCATTTCGCTCTGATGAGGGCCGAGGCCCGTTCCATTTGCACATTCTTGTTGACTCTCACATGTATTGTACATGCCTTGTGTAGCATTTTGTATGTTGAATGCAGATCTTTTGCAGAAGGCAGTTTTTCTAACAAGAACTAGTATTTGGTTGTGGTGGAGCTAATGTGGGAGTCTGACAGATCAGGCCTCAGTCCTCTGATCCACTCTCCAGAGACCTTCATAAGCTTCTGATCTCCCATATAGCTCTCAGGGGTGAGTGAGCACCATGGGAAGGATCAAGAGCTTGGTTTTTTTTCTGTCCTGCCAGCCAGCTCCCAAATATTAACATGGAGAGTTCTTATTAATTATGAAAGCTCGGCTTGTAGCTTAGGCTTGTGCTTAACTAGCTCTTATATGCTAACCCATTTATATTAATCTACATTCTATCACACGGCATTACCTCTCCTATCTTGCACCCCGTTTCCTCTCCGTGTCTCCTGGGATCTCCTCAAGCGTCGATTATCTCCTCTCTCCTTTCTCTCTTTCCGGAAGTACCCCTTGCCTAGCTATTGGCTGTTCAGCTCTTGGCTAAACCAATCACAATAATATATCTTCACACAGTGTACAAATATCCCACAACTCCACAACTACTAACCTGTGATTCTTAATTATCTTTATAGTGTTTAAGGACTAGAGCTTTGCATTATGTTTTAAAATGAACTTATAGGTACAACACCCCAAACCAGAGTAAAAACATATATACAGTATAACAAAAATAACCTTAAATTTGTATCAACATATAAAAATCCATATCAATTTAAAATATTTGAGACTAATAGTTGTTCAAAAGTAGACTCGCCCGGCGGTGGTGCACGCCTTTAATCCCAGCACTCGGGAGGCAGAGCCAAGCGGATCTCTGTGAGTTCGAGGCCAGTCTGGTCTACAGAGTGAGATCCAGGACAGGCACCAAAACAACACAGAGAAACCCTGTCTTGGGAAAAAAAAAAAAATTAGACTCAAGGGGCTGGAGAGATGGCTCAGTGGTTAAGAGCACTGGCTGCTCTTCCAGAGGACCCAGGTTCAATTCCCAGCACCCATATGGCAGCTCACAATTATCTGTAATCTCAGCTCCAGGAGTTCTGACACCTTTACACAGATACACATGCAGGCAAAACATACATAAAGTAAAAATAAATAAATCTTTAAAAAAAAAAAGTAGACTTGGCGGGGCTGGACAGATGGCTCAGAGGTTAAGAGTACTGGCTGCTCTTTCAGAGGTCCTGAGTTCAATTCTTAGCAACCACATGGTGGCTTATAACCATCTGTAATGATATCTGCATACGTAATAATAAATAATATATACATATATGATATTTATATATGTAATAAATAAATAAATCTTTTTAAAAAGTAGACTCAACAATCCACCCTTTTATCCCATCATTCTGTATCTCCGCTTTTTACCTTCAGTAACAGATCCCTGAATCTAATCTCCTTTGTTCAGCTTTTTTCCTGACCATGACCAACAACGACTTGTAACCAACCCCCCTAAATGATTACAAGCATCCATAACCCACCAAACAACCAAAAACCACCTACCCCACCTCTTGGCAAGGTGGGTGTCATGTTCTCTAGACTGCTTCCTGTCTGGCTTGATGACGTCCTCAGGGGACCCTGAGAAAACTGGCATAATGGTCAAGTCCTGAGAGAGCTAGCTGTATTATTTGTTGTTTAGTCTCTATGTGATGGGAAAGTGTAGAGCTTATCTGAAGTCTTGGCTGGTTAGTTTGTGAGGCTGGACCATCTCAGCCAGCAGCCCTGAAGTTGTTTTGGATGCAGAATTTTGAGATAACTGCAACAGAGGCATTCTGAGAGGCTGGATCACCTGGGCTATCTGTTTTCATTGGTGTCTGGTTTCTGAAAACATTCATACTTTTAAAGTTAACATACATATCTGCATTAACACAAGTATGAAATATGCAGTGTGCGCAAGTCAGTCAAAGATGATTTTTTGTTTTATGTTTGAGCAGGTAGAAGGCATCTGTCAACTTTATAAGTCTTTTTGAACTGTATAACCAAACCTCTACCTATGCCATATGAAAGGATGGCATTTAATAATAAGTCATGAGGATTCTGTAGCCAACAAGATTCATCCAGTCTCAGCTGTTCCCATAGCATAGGGATCAGCATATACGTCAGCTGCCCTGTAGTCTTTCGTGGTTTCTTTTTTATATCTGTAGCCAAGATTTTCAGGAGGTGTTCCCCAATCAAATCTGATCTTTATTAATTTTGAAGAGAGCCATATCTTTTTCTTTTCTGTGGAAACAAAGGTACAACCTCTCCTCCAATGCAACATGTTTTTTTACTTTCATTTTGAAATTAAGACATTCTTAAAATATATATGTTGGTTTAATTTAGTAGTTTCCATAATCCAATGTCCCTCGACAGCTATTGTTTTTTGTACATTAGCATTTAAAAAATTCAAAGTCAACAAAGCACCATTGTAGCAGGAATCTTAAAAGTTCTTATTAATAAAATCAAACCTGAGGCCAGTTATTGGGGTGAATACTGGAAGATCAGAGAGACAGAACAAGCCACAGCTACCTCATCTTGCCAGTTCCTCAGCTGATCTTGTTTCCTCAGGCTGGAAGCTTTTCAGTCCTCATCCAGAATGGGTCTCTGCTGAACTACTCGAAAGCCTGAATGCTTAACCAGCCAAAAGCTTAACCAGCCAAAAGTTTCACCAGGCCAAATGCTTCTAGTTTCTGGTCTTCACGCCTTTCTATCTTTCCTTTCTACCGTCACTCCCTGGGATTAAAGGCTGGCTTTCTGGGATTAAAGGCATGAGTCACCATGCTTGGCTGTATCCTTGAACAGATGGATTTCTGCCTCTGGAATGCTAGGATTAAAGGCATGTGCTACCGCTGCCTATCCTAAGTATCTAGTGGCTTTTCTGTTCTCTGACCCCAGATAAGTTTATTAGGGTACACACAATATTTTGGGGAACACAATACCACCACACACCATACAGGGTCTAGATGTTCTGTGTATTTCACATCTTTTCATGGCTTATTCTTTTTATATTACTTTACTCTTTCTTTAAAGACTTTTTTTTTTCTATGACTGTCTATACCCATTTTTTACTGTATCTGTTTAAAGGTTTTCTCTGTCTGGACCACTTTACTGTGCACCTTCTTCAACCTCAAGACAAACCCTAAACAGCCACACCAGCTGTGTGCGGCTCTGGCAGCTAGCTCTGCACCCCGTGGATTCCCTGAGAGCTTAGCATCATACCAACCTGTTTACCACTCCAACTCTGGGAAGCTGCTGTGTCCACGATGTGGCAGGCACTTTTACCTGGCACACAAGTTGCTCAAGTGCTCTGCTGCAAAGCAGGGTGTAGCTGGAGTTTTCCTGCCTTGCCCACAGTCAGGACAAATCTCTCTCACCCGCCAGTCCCACAACCGCTCAGACCCAACCAAGTAAACACAGAGACTTATATTGCTTACAAACTGTATGGCCGTGGCAGGCTTCTTGCTAACTGTTCTTATAGCTTAAATTAATCCATTTCCACAAATCTATACCCTGCCACGCGGTTCGTGGTTTACCAGCATCTTTTCATGCTGCTTGTCAGGGTGGCAGCTGGCAGTGACTCCTTCTGCCTTCCTGTTCTTTTATTTCTCCTCTCTTAGTCCCGCCTATACTTCCTGCCTAGCCACAGGCCAATAAGTGTTTTATTTATTGACCAATCAGAGCAACTTGACATACAGACCATCCCACAGCATAGCCAAGTGCAGACCATCTCAGACACCTGCACTCAGGCCGTGGTCCTAATCATCCTCTATGTGGACCTGCTGGGTAAAGCCACTAGGAACCCGAGAATGGGCTCCCACAGGACATACAGAACATCCCACAGCAGCAGGGCCTCTTAAAAGAGCCCTGCCTCTGTATGCCAAGCCTACCCAAGAGACCGCTTTCTTAGGCCCTATGTGGATATTTGGGCCCCACATTGGACACTATATGTAACGAGTCTTTTTCTGTCCCCCCAGCCAGCTCCCAAATAATGACATGGAGACTTCTTATTAACTATGAAGCTCGGCCTGTAGCTTAGGCTTGTTCCTAACTAGCTCTTATATGTTAACCCATTCATATTAATCTACATTCTATCACATGGCATTACCTCTCTCCTATCTTGTACCCCGTTTCCTCTCCGTGTCTCCTGGGGTTTCCTCAAGCCTCGATTATCTCCTCTTTCCTTTCTGCCAGGAAGTCCCACCTATACCTCCTGCCTTGCTATTGGCCATTTAGCTCTTTATTAAACCAATCACAGTAATATATATTCACACAGTATACAGATATCCCACAATAGCTCAGGCCTACCATCTTGCATGAGAAGGTGCTGAGTTAGTGCATCTGTTCCTATAACATTCATGTTTTATTTTGGAAGGAAAGAAACTCTGTATACACTCCATGTGGTGATATATATTTTTTGTTTTTAAGACAGAATGGTAGAAAAGGCACAGACCATGATATTATTAAAACTGTTCAAATTGGGGCTGGAGAGAGGGCTCAGTGGAGCACTGGCTGCTCTTCCAGAGGTCCTGAGTTCAATTCTCAGCACCCGCATGGTGGCTCACAAACATCTATAGTGGGTTCTGATGCCCTCTTCTGGCATAAAGTGTACATGCAGATAGAGCACTCAAATAAATAAATAAACAAATCCTTAATCTATATATGGAATGTATCTAAAGCCCACAGCCATTTGCTAGCCATACCACCTTAAGCAAGTAACAATGTAGTTTGGCTTCAGTTCCCACTGAGAAGGGAGAAACTGACCTTTATTTGTTACTTATTATTCAGTAGGGTTATTATTAGTGCCTCTACAATTGCAGCGATATTGTCTATTTTTTCTATATTGTCTTTTTAATGTAGTTTATGTATGTGAGTGCTCCATCTGCATGTATGTCTGCAGGCCAGAAGAGGGCACCAGATCCCGTTACAGATGGTTGTGAGCCACCATGTGGGTGCTGGGAATTGAACTCAGGACCTCTGGAAGAGGAGCCAGTGCTCTTAACCTCTGAGCCATCTCTCCAGCTAGTCTTTCTTTTTCTAGGCCACATTTTCTAGGCAACTTGTCACATTTGGCCTCTGGCATCTAGTGGGAATGGATTTTAGCGCTGCTGGGCTCCTGCATGGCAGAGGCAGAGCTGTCAGCGGAGTGGGAAGACCCGCTCCTCATTGAACTTACGGCTCCTCAGCTTTGGGGAATTTGGTCTGTCTGGACGACCTCTGACATCATCCTGTTCTTCCTTGGCGTTGGAGAGTATGAGTCCCCTGCCTGAAGTCGTGCCATGCGGGCCATGCCACACCATGCCATGCTGTGCTCCTTAGAGACTAGGGTACAAAGGTGACCCTGATAAGCCCTACCAAGAGTCACGGGCAGGGTCTGCAGATGTGGATCCCCAGTACCTCAGGAAATTAGCAGTAAAGTCAGAAGGCCCTCACCCAGGTCTTGCTTATTTTCTCTCTGGACTAGAAACCAGGACTTGGACCACGCCTGAAGTGAGCAGCCCACCACCATCCCCAAGAACATTCCACACATCATCGGCAGCGATCGGAAACCAGCTGTATGTTTTTGGGGGAGGAGAGCGAGGTGCCCAGCCTGTGCAGGATGTGAAGTTGCACGTATTTGACGCAAGTATGGACTACGGGTGTGGGGGTCCGGGGGCTCCCTACCTGGCCAGGACCGCCTCAGCCTCCCTTATCTCTCACACAGGAAACAGGGTCTTGAAAAAAGATTTGAACTAAGTAGACTACTTGCTTAGCATGCACCAAACCCCATCCACATTAGTCCCTAGCACCACACAAACCAAGCATGATGGCAGATGTGTGTCCATAATCCCAGCAGGTGAGATCAGGCCTAGATGAGGATACATGAAACCTGTCACATACAAAATACATCAAGGAGGCTGGAGAGATGGCTCAGCAGTTAGAGCACTGACTGCTCTTTCAGAGGTCCTGAGTTCAATTCCCAGCAACCACACGGTGGCTTACAACCATCTGTAATAGGATCTGATACCCTCTTCTGGCCATGCAGACAGAACACTGTATACATAATAAATAAGTAAATCTTTTTTTTTTCTTTTCTTTTCTTTTTTTTTTTTGTTTTTTTGTTTTTTTGTTTTTTGAGACAGGGTTTCTCTGTGTAGCTTTGCAGCTTTTCCTGGAACTCACTTGGTAATCCAGGCTGGCCTCGAACTCACCGAGATCCGCCTGGCTCTGCCTCCCGAGTGCTGGGATTAAAGGCATGCGCCACCACTGCCCGGCCATAAGTAAATCTTAAAAAAAAAAATACATAGTTTTTTTTTTAAGAATTTATTTAAATTAGTCAATCAAGCTTGGTTGATTAGTGCATGTCTTTAATCCCAGCACTCTGAGGCAGAAGCAGGCAGATCTCTGGTCTACATGGTTCCAGGCCAGCCACGGCTACACAGTGAGACCCAGTCTCAAAAAACAAACACAGGGACCAAAAGACGGCGGCTCCGGGCTGAACGCAGCTCGGTGGTGAGGCTGTGCTCCGTCCGTGCAGCCCTGCACTTGATCTCCTGTACCCCTGGAAAACAAACTGCCACAGCAAAGAGAGAGAAAACAAACAAAACGCCTCCCAAGGCTTTTCACAGAAGCAGCACACACCTTTATGTTAACAGTTCTGGGTTAAAGCTTACAGGACACATTTTTCAATCCAAAGCAAGAAATAGCTCCGTAGGGCCCAGACTTGAGGGCCAGCCTGCCAGTCACTGGCTTTGCGGTCCCCAGCCCGGAAGTGTCCAAGTAGAGGTTGGGTGGAAGGATGGAGATCTTGGCTGGTAGGTCAGAGGGAAGGCCCCACGATGACTCTTGGGGCACCTTTGCTGTGGAGGAGCCTGAAGAAGCATGCCACCTGGTGTCAGTGTGTTTACTTTCGTAGACACTTTGACGTGGTCTCAGCCAGAGACACATGGAAGTCCTCCGTCTCCCCGGCATGGCCATGTGATGGTGGCAGCGGGGACAAAACTCTTCATCCATGGAGGCTTAGCAGGGGACAAGTTCTTTGATGACCTCCATTGCATCGATATAAGTAAGTGTGTTGGAGGGCCAGGGGGCTGATGTGTTCAAAAGTCTTTAAAATGCACTCGGAAAGAATTCATCTTCTGTGTTGGTAACTTGAGCGGCTGTTAGAGTCTTTCCTGGACTCCATGAAGCAAGGTCTGGATACTAAGGGACACGAGGCTGGAGAGAGCTCAGCCGTGAGGCACATGGGCTTCCCACCACCCACAGGGCCGGCGGGGGGGGGGGACCAGACAAAACACTGTACACCCCAAATAAGTGAGTTAGGTGGGTAGATAGACAGACAGACAGACCTGAAGGAGAAAGAAGGAAAAATATAATTAACAACTGGGGCTGGAGAGATGGCTCAGCAGTTAAAGCACTGACTGCTCTTACAGAGGACGATTCCAAGTTCGATTCCAGGCACCCACCGGCAGCTGCAGCGTACTCAGAACTTCCGGTCTCAGCTGACCCCTGCACGTGCCCACATGTAGACACACACATAGGCACATGATTAAAAATAAGAAATTTCTAGCTGGGTGGTGCTAGTGCACGCCTTTAATCCCAGCACTTAGGAGGCAGGGGCAGGAAAGTCTCTGAGTTCGAGGCCAGCCTGATCTACAGAGCAAGTTCCAGGACAGCCAGGGCTACACAGAGAAACCCTGTCTTGAAAAACCAGAAAACAACAACAACAAAATAAAATATTTTATGTTTAAGGGCATTTTTCCTGCATGTATGTCTGTGTACCAACCACATGTATGTAGTTCCTAAAGAGGCCAGAAGAGGGCATTGGATTCCCTGGAACTGGAGTCACAAATAGTTGTAGGTGCTGGGAATTAAGCCTAGAACTTCAAGAAGAGCCAAGCCAAATACATCTTTTTAAATTTTTTCTTTCTTTCTTTTTTTTTTTTCTGAGACAAGGTCACACTTGGCTTGCCTAGAGCTCTCTATATAGCCCAAGCTGGCCTTGAACTCCTAGAGATCCGAGCCTCAGCCTCCAAAGTGTTGGGATTAGAGGTGTACACCACCATACCCGATTTCATCTATTTTTAAAAAAGAGCAAAATAAAAATAAGCAGTCATTCCCCAACACTGAGAGCATGAGCAGGCCTGTCATCCCTTCCGGCCCCGCCCGCCCACTGCACTTCCCTGCAGTTTGTGTTCCCAGCCAGAGCTCCTTATGCTTTGGCTCCTGTTCAGTTTCTGGTCCAGATAATGGAGGTGGATGACCAGAACTGCATGTTTGTTGGCCTGCATGGTCAAAAACCCTGGAAAAAGGAAAGCTAGAGAGAACCTGAAGCTTGTCTTCACTTCTGAGGGCTGTACTCTTCTGAGTCTTTCTAGATGTGAGTTGCATGGGGCAGGGACCTCCTCTTTCCTTGGTGAAGTTGCTGGAGGGTGGCTTAGTGCTTGTCTGCTCTTGAGTGATGGATGAGTAGATGAGCAAGGTCTGCCTGGCTGTAGACCACAGAACAAGGGTGATGGGCAGAAGGCACAAGAACTCCTGTGCAAAGCACTGTGTCCTTGGAAGCAGGCTCACTGGCTGGGATTCCTCCATTGGCTACAATCAGGGATTTTGATTCCCTTTTTTTTTTTTTTTTTTTTGGAGACAGAGTCTAGCTGTGCAGCTCAGTCTCAAACTGGCGATCCCCCTGCTGAGTTCAAGGGCTAGAGTCATGCACTCCTGAGCAGTTTCAAACAGGACAGGATTGGTTCTTATTGTTTTGAGACAAGGTCTTTCTGTGTAGCGCTGGTTGTCATGCAACTCGCTCTGTAGACCAGGCTGACCTCAAACTCACAGAGATCCACCTGCCTCTGCCTCTGAGTGCTGGGGTTAAAAGTGTGTGCCATCGTGCTTGGCCTGATAATTTTCTAAGACTGCCCATTTTCCTGTGCTGAGGAAGTACTTCCTAGCTATTGTTTCTTCCTTCCCAGATGGATTCTAATTTAAACCCCAGTGGTATGTATATACTTCATTTAAATGCTCCTTGGAAAACATGCAGACAGTTCTGCAGAAGTAGTGTTGGGAATGAGTGCTGAGTGCAGCCTAGAGGACACAGGCCACGCAGCCTCGGTGTGACCAACTCTGCCACTTTCACGTCACTCTGTCTTCTCACCCTGTGTGCTCGTCTATAAGAAGGAAGGATGTAGATAGAAGTGATAGCAGCTCATAGGGCTGAACAAGAGTTCACGAGTCATAGCCAGCACCCGTAAAAGTTACTGTTGGAGGGGCTGGAGAGGTGGCTTGGCATCTTGCAGAGGACCTGGGTTTGATTCCTAGCATCCTCATGGCAGCTCACAACCAGTGTAGTTTCAGTCCAAGGCATGAAACACCCTCCTCTGTCCTCCATGCACACGTGTTGTGCACAGACAAGCATGCAGGCAAAACATACATATGCATACAATAAAATCTTTAAAAAATGTGTTTAAAAGATGCACATATAGATGGACATGTGTGCCTGCATATCTGTGTACATGCACACAGTGAACAATTAAAGATGACATCACTATTAAAAGTTTCACATTTCTCAGCGTACTCCAAAGGACATCAGAATCCCATGAGATGCCTTTTAAAACTGTAGATCCCTGCTCCAGATCAGAGAATTATTCAAGCTGCTCTCCCTCAAAAACAGTTCTGCACACTGAACCTTTCTCTGTTACTTCTTAGAGGTTTCCTGTGACTCATGCATGGTGTTCAACACCTTTAATCCCAGCATTCGGGAGGTAAAGGCAGAAGTTCAAGGCCAGCCTGGTTTACATAGGGCATTCCAGATCAGGGCTACCTAGTGAGACCCTGTCTTAAAAAAAAACAAGAAAGAACACCTCCCTGTGGATGACCCTCAGTAATCATTTTGCAGCAGATAATTTGAAATCACATTTTGGCTCATGTGCAAAACTCTTTCTTGTGACAGGTGACATGAAATGGCAGAAGCTTAGTCCCACAGGGGCTGTTCCAGCAGGCTGTGCTGCCCACGCCGCCGTGGCTGTGGGAAAGCACGTGTATGTGTTTGGAGGAATGACGCCCACTGGAGCACTGAACACAATGTACAGGTATCACACAGGTGAGCAGGCTTCACTCCTGGTCTTTAAACAAATACAAACATTCTTTGAAAAGTGATGCAGGATTTCATTGGGTCGTGGTGACACACGCCTTTTATCCCAGAACTTGGGAGGCAGAAGCAGGTGAATCTCTGAGTTTGAGACCAGCCTGGTCTACACAAAAAATCCCTGTCTCAAAACAAAACAAAACAAAACCCCACAGAGCCCGGCGGTGGTGGTGCCCATCTTTGATCCCAGCACTTGGGAGGCAGAGGCAGGCAGATCTCTGTGAGTTCGAGGCCAGCCTGGTCTGCAGAGTGAGATCTAGGACAGACACCAAAACTGCACAGAGAAATCCTGTCTCAAAACAAAACAAAACAAAAAACCAAAAAAGCCCACAGAAAAACATGGCCTCTCTGTGTAGCCAGGCTGGTCTGAAAATGGCAGCAATCCTCCTGCAGCGCCTCCTGAGCACTGGAATGCGGGTGTGCACTGGCCCAGCCTGTTCTCCCTTTATTTCCTCTTTGTGGATTAACTAATGCAGAAAATCATTGACTGTTTCTGGAAACATCTGTCTCTGTCCCCCTTACTTAGAAAAGCAGCATTGGACGTCACTCCAGTTCGATACTTTCCTACCTGCTGGCCGACTGGACCACTCCATGTGTGTCGTTCCGTGGCCAGTGACATCCTCCTCTGCGAATGAAGACTCGGAGTCTGGCATCCTCAGCTGCGAAGCTGAGGAAGGGGATGCTGCGGACAAGCATGGGACTCAGGGTGGTGGGTCACCTGAGGAGAGTCAGGCTAACGTGTTGCTCTGTTTTGTGTTCGGTGGGATGAATACAGAAGGGGAGATCTATGACGATTGCATTGTGACTGTAGTTGACTAATAAAACCCACATTTTTATTACTTGTTACTTTTTACAAAAGTGAAACCTCTGAGAGTCACAGTGCCAAATACTCTGCACGGTGTATTCCCTTAACCAAAAGGGGCGTGCACACCCTTAGTTGCATGTGGGAGGTGGAGGCAGAGGGTCAGAAGGAACTGTCAACTTCAGCTACATAGTAAATTGGAAGGTCAGCTGGGCCACAAGCTGTCTAAAAAGAAGGACTTTGAGATGGCTCAGCAGATAAAGGTACTTAATCTTAAACCTGATGACCTGAGTTCAAAACCAGGAACTCACGTGGTAGAGCATCCACTCCCAGAAGTTGTCCTCTGACTTCTACATTGCAACAGTGAGTATCTATTCACATACTAGATGGATAAATGGATGTTTTTTTTTTTAATCAAAAAATAATATCCATCTTGTGTGGTGTACATCTTTAATCCCAGTGCTCAGGAGGCAGAGACCGGTGGATCTCTGTGAGTTTGAGGCCAGCCTGGTCTACAAAGTGAGTTCCAGGACAATCCAGAGCTGTTACATAGAGAAACCATGTCTTAAAAAAAAAAAAAAAATGGACTGGAGAGATGGCTCAGTGGTTAAGAGGTCCTGAGTTCAATTCCCAGCAACCACATGGTGGCTCACAACCATCTATAATGAGATCTGGTGCCCTCTTCTGGCCTGCAAGGACACATGCAGGCAGAACACAGTATACATAATAAATAAACCTTAAATATATATATAATTTATGTATATATATATGTATATATGTATATGTGTGTATACATATACATATATATCCTCCCAAACACCCATAGACAAGTGTTTAGGCAGGTCTGGAGTATAATTAAGTCTGTGGGCCAAAGCTCAAATGTTAAAATTGATCTTGTTCACTTCATGCTGGGTCAAGAAGTATATATATTCTCCATCTTGCACTTAACTTTGGTACTGGATAGCCCAGTGCAAACAATTCCATTATAAAGTTTTACTAGCAATAAAATCTGTGGATACCCAAACTAGATATTGGAGTAAACATTTATCAGTTGGAATCTTTTAATATACATTAGCTAGTCATTAGGAAAAAAGTGCAGACAAGGGGCTGTTGGAGAGTTAGCTTATCAGTTAAGAGCCTGTTCTCACAGAGAACCCAGGTTCAGTTCCCAGGACTCACGTGGTAGCTGACAACTGTCTCTAATTCCAGTTCCAGGGGATCCTATGCCTGACACTCTGCAGGCAAAACACTGACTGGATGTTCATGCCATTGTATGATGTGTGCACCCCCTAAACCTTGT